ATCTCCTTCTCCTCCTCCTTCTCCTCCTCCATCTCTTCCTCCTCCTCCTCCTCCATCTCTTTTCCCCATCCCCTAATTTATGCGTCATATTTAAAATAATTTGACAGAAATATAAGTTTTTCCCATTTGCTTTCCTCCTGGACTTTCCCCTCCGTAGAGAGACTCAGTCCTCCCAACATCACTGCCAAGTGCAACAAGACCTCCTCGCTCATGGAGTGGAGGACGTTCAGCCACTTCAACAACAACTTCATGTATCAGCTCCAAGTAAACAAGGTAAACTGGCCCCCAGTGGGGCCCTCGGCGTCTCTGTCACCGTCCTCTGGGGTAGACGGGGGTAGGCAGTCTCCGCTCACAGGACTCAACGGTGTGATGGAGGTGAGCAAGGGAGCACGCCTCTCTTCCCAGCTACTGGGGAGGCTGACACAGGAGGATGGCCAGATGGAGGCCAGCCTCAGCAGCTTAGCAGGGTCCTGAGCCACTTAGCGAGACCCGGTCTCAAAATAGCCGTTAAAATGGGGTGCGGCCCGTGGCTCACTAGTGCATCTCTCCTGGGCTCAGTTCCCAGAACCAGTGCACACGTACGGAAGGTGACATCTGTGAGTGATAAAAAGCATCACTTAGGAAATACACGGACCTGTCCCATCGTCACTTATCGGGTCCTGGTCATGGGTGCCCAGGAGCCCCGCACCCATGGCCCGAGACGCTGAGCTCAGGGCTGGGCGTGCCACCCCTTGTCCCAGCACCCTCCCCTCTGGTTTGGTGGCCCCCGGGGGACCTGTGGCTGGGGCCTCTCTCAGGAGTCCTGGCCTTTTATCTTGCAGAGCTCAGGAGGCAGCTCCCAGGAGACTGTGAGTGGACCCGGCCCCTCTTCCCCACGGAACTGGGCAGTTCTTATCATTACTGACCCGTGGCCCCCACTGGACGGGCTCCACGCGTGGGCACCACAGACCCCCGTCAAGGAGAAGCTTGCAAAGTTTGCTTTCGTCCCCAATCAAGAGAGTGGGGAGGGGGGACACAACTCAGCCGTCCCGGGGCCCCTCTGCTCTCCCCAGGCCCTGGGAGTGGACGTGGGACTCTTTCCCCTCCCCCTCCCCTCCCGTCGCCCCAGATTCCCGCGAACCGCTTCCTGCTGCCCAATCCCGGCAACTACGAGGTGAGGATCAGGGTCAGGGACAACAGGAACGTCTACAGCAGCTGGAGCCCGTGGGGCGCCCCCCAGAGCTTCGGTGAGTGGGCGGCCTCCCTTGTCCCCCAGGGTCGTGAGTGGGCGGCCTCCCGGTCCCTCTAGTCCGAGGATGGCGGGTCCCTGGGGGGGGGGGACAGCGGGGATGGCGGGTGCTGCCCGTGGCGCCTGCGTCTCCGCCCACGAGCAGGGCCCCGGCCAGGCCAGGTGGACGCAGCAGCGTCAAGGGGCAGGAATCCCGTCTAGTGACCCCACGCTGAGCAGGGGGCGCAGGTTTCCAGGGAGCTTGGCCTGGCCGCGGGGCGTCGCTGGGAGGCCGGGAGGGCTGCCGTCCCCTCCCCTCGGAGCCCATCCTGGGCCATGGGGCAGCCCTGGACGTGTCCCCTCTCGCTCAGAGTGTGACCCTGATGAGGACCGGCCCTCGCGTGTCCTGCAGACGTCCCTGCTGGCGGCGGGGGGGACGCTGGCCATCGTGCTGCTGGGGCTGCTCCTGTGCAAGCGGTAGGCGCCTCCCGGGATCCGGGCGCATCCCGCGTCCCAGTCTCCACCGTGTGACTGGGTCCCCAGCCCCATCTGAGTAGGGGACCCTGGTTGAGGCCATGGGTCCCTCGGGGAAGCCCGGTTCCCAGGCCTCACGGGGCAGTGGACGCCAAGTTCCCGAGGGGAGCAGCCACACCCCAACCAGGGACTCGGATCGGGGTCCCCTCCGGGTCCAGCCCCTCCTTGTCCCCTTCAGTCGTGGCCACCTGCTGCAGGCAGGGGACGGTCCTGGGAGGGGGCGCTAGCCTGGAGGGTCAGCTGGGGTCGGGCCGCAGGCTCAGGTCAGGAGTTTGGACTAGGAATCCCAAGTGACCAGCCGAGGCCACCCCCGCCCCAGACCCAGGGCTGTGCGTGGGGCCAGGGGAGAAGCTGCTGCTGCAGGTGGGAGGGGGCCTGCTGGGTGGCGAGTCCTGTGTCCCAGGAGGTCGCGGTGAGGAGTGACCCTGGGTGAGGAGTGACCTCAGGGTCGTCTCTGCGGATCCCCCACCCCCCTGGGCCCCGCCTGCGGTGGTGACCTTGGGTTCTGAGCCTGCGTCCCACTCCTCCCAGGTTCTCCCTGATGCAGAGGCTGTTCCCTCCTGTCCCCCGCGTGAAAGCGACCGTCTGTGACCATGTGCCCAATGGCGAGATGGTATGTCGTCGGACGTGGGGTGGCCACTGTCCTGCCCAGCAGACAGCATGGTAGCGGGGCGGGACCCCTGTGACTTTGCTAACAGCCCACCCGTCCCCTCAGCTGGCCCTGGAGGCCGCGGGAGACGACTGTCCAGTGGCCCAGCTGCAGGACTTGGAGGAGCCCTGATGGCCCAGCGCAGGACCCGCTGGCTGTCATACTGCAGGGCGGCCACAGGCCAGGCTGCAGGACCAGTGGACAGTGCCAAGGGAGGGACAGGAGACGGACACGCGGAGCCCACGCTGCTGGAGGATAAAAGCCGAGCATCGGGTCCACCTCTACCGGGTGTCCCACCTGCTCACTGGCCCTCCAGGGACCTGCGCCACCCAGGCCGCTCTGCCCAAGGGCTAGGGGGACTGGCCGCAGAGTCCGGATCCTGCCGCGGAGGGATCCCTCTCTCCTGTCAGTCACCGACGTCGTCTCTGCAGCTGGGTCTTAGGTACCCCCTCCCCCAAGGCCTGCCTGTCCCCACCCCGACCGCAGGTGGTCACTACTGGAGGAGGGACAGGACTCCCAGTCTGTGGCCCCAGAGTGACCTCAGCTGCTGCCCCGACTTAACCAAGTGCCCCCTAAGCACGACCCGCACTGGACAGTGACCTCCAGAAGCAATGACTTCCCAGGAAATGGCCCTGGGGTCACCCACTGGCCCCCCAGCTCAGCTTGGGGCTGTCCTTGACAAGGAGAGAAAAATCCTGAGTGACCCCAGGGCTGTGACAAGCCCCTGCAGAGGCAGGAAGCAGGCACCTGCAGACTGACCTCCCAGGACAGTGGCCCCCAGGGCCCAGGAAACTAATGTCACCAGGCTGCAACGTCAGGTCCCAGCTGGCGCTATCAAGGACTCGGGTGGCCAGCTGGGGCTCAGGGTCAGCTTACCCAGGCCAAGTGACCCACACCTGGCACTGGACCTGCACCTGCGCTCAGAGGGCAGCTCCCAGGACCCGCAGTCGGGGCACCTAGGACCCTGAGGCCCCAGGTGACTCCCCCTGTCACCTGGCTGGACCCCAGCTTCTGCAGGACAAGACCAAGCTCATGGGTCACCTCTGGGCCCCAGCTCTCCCCCAGCCCAGGCCAGGTCAAGGACACCAGGACCCCTAGGGCTGGTGTGGGGGGCTCTGGGAGGGTGCAGCTCCCAGGTGCAGCCCGCGAAGGGGACGAGGGTCCTTATGACAGAGACCCGAGAGCCCCTGCCCGTCCACCACGGAGGACCCTCTGGGAGCAGGAAGCAGGCTCAGTTGACCCTGGACCTCGGGCTTCCAGAACCACAGCAGCTGCCCCTGCAGGAGGCCACTCTGCAGAAGCCTGTCCTTCCAGGGAAGCCCGACTGACCCTCGCCCCCCAGCGTCCTGCTGACCCGCGACCCCTCCCCCCAGGCCCAGGCAGGCTGCGCGTGGCCGTGGTGTCCTGTTTATTTCTCGGCAGGTGCCACAGGGAACATGATTGCGGACTCGCTGTGCGCAGCGGCTAGTGCTTGGGGAGTGGACACGACTCTGTTAAATAAATACTCGCGCGGGCCCTACAAGCTCTGGACTCTGGGTCAGCCTGGGGCCTGCCCGGGGCCCGCAGGACATGGTCAGGACGCCCGGCACCGGCGCGCGGAGCGGGGTGTCCATGGTCACAGGTCACCGTGAGTCCCTCAGCGCCCGGGCCCCGACAGACACCCTGGCCAGGACAGACGGGAATTTCTGGAAGGTCCATGGTCCCCAGCGGAGGGCGCCCCCACCCTCTGGTCCCTGGCGGCGGCCGCGGCGGCTGCGGGCGCCTAGATGACCTTCTTGAGCTCGTCGTAGAGCACCAGCACGAAGGCGCCGCCCATGCCGCGCAGCACGTTGGACCAGGCGCCCTTGAAGAAGGCCTTGCCGCCCTCGTCCCTGAAGATCTTCCTCCAGCAGTCCACCGTGCCCGTGTACATGATGTCCGCTGCGGGGACACGGCCGTCAGGAGGGACAGGGCGGCCGCCACCCACCCGGGGCCTCAGACCGCGGCAGCTGACGCGGTCACTGCAGCCGGAGCTCGGACCAGAGACCTGCTGCCTCCCAGGTGCCCGCGGCCTCCCCCTGCAGGGCCAGCCGAGTCCCCGTGCAGGACCACGGCTCCCTGGACATGCAGACTGTCCCTCGGGACCCCCTGAGCAGGCGGCCTGGACCCTGGCAGCCCCCCCCCGGCCCAGGTCAGTACCTGTTTTACGCCCCGACTGCATCATCATGCGCCGCCGCACCGTGTCGAAGGGGTAGGAGACCACGCCGGCCACCGCGGTGACGGTCTGCGCGATCATCCAGCTGATCACGATGTGCGTGTTCTTGGGGTCCGGCAGCATGCCTGTGGACGGCAGGCCGCGGTCAGCCCCGCTCCCTCCAGGGAAACCCCAGGGCCAGGCGACCCTCCCTCACCCCAGAGGCCGGAGGCCAGGGCCCAGAGTGGCCACTCTGCAGGGGGAGGAGCCGTCCAGGTGAAGGACAGCAGGCCCCAGTCCTGACCCCAGGGCCTGAGAAGGTGACTGCACATGGACACAGGGTTTAGAGAGGGCAGGTGTGGTCAGTCAGGACACAAGACCGTGAAGCCCCGGCCCTTCCCGAGCGGAGGCCAGCTCAGAGGCCCGGGGGAGGCTGCCCGGCCTCGCCGCACTCACCCTTGGCCGTGTCGTAGACCCCGAAGTAGGCCGCGCGGTAGATGATGATGCCCTGCACGGACACGTTGAAGCCCTGGTACAGGCCGCGGAGGCCGTCCGACTTGGTGATCTTCACCAGGCAGTCGCCCAGGCCCTTGAACTCGCGCTCCGCGCCCGACTTGCCCACGTCGGCCGCCAGGCGCGTCCTGGCGAAGTCCAGCGGGTAGACGAAGCACAGGGAGGTGGCCCCGGCCGCGCCCCCGGAGGCCAGGTTGCCGGCGAAGTACCTCCAGAACTGCGTGTGCTTGTCCACGCCGCCCAGGAAGACCTGCTTGTACTTGTCCTTGAAGGCGAAGTTGAGGGCTTGTGTGGGGAAGTAGCGGATCACGTTGGCCAGGTTGCCCCTCCAGAAGGACAGCACGCCCTGCTCCTTGGGGATGCGCACGATGCAGTCCATGATGCCCTTGTACTGCTTGTCGGCCGCGATCTGCTTGCTAGCATGTTGCACCTGCGGGGAGGCCCGGGGCGGAGGTCAGAGGAGTGCACTGCGCACCTGGCCCACCTGGGAAAAGTGCGCCTGCGCAGGCTGACCAGTGGGCGGCCTCCACCGTGACCAGCCCCTCTGTGTAAGTGCTCATCAGGTCACCACAACGTTTCACTGTAACCCGATCCTAGCAACAGTGTTGCCAACCCCGGGGCTACTCAGTGGGACGCCCTCAAGGGCGCACAGCTCACGGGGGCTGACGGCTAGCTACAGGGTGCACTGTGAAAACTCAGACCAGGACCAAGGTCCAGTGTCTCGAACCTGGGGTCGCTGGCCATGGTAACGGAAAGGGTCGCACGCACTGCAAGATGCAAGCCTGGAGGCAGCCCAAGGCCACGGTCCAAGCCCACTGGGTCCCCGTGACCCGCTCAAGGTCACAGCCACTAGGCCGCTCTGCGCAGCTACGCCGGCGCGCATGCGCCTAACAGGCCGCGCCGCAGCCCCCAGGGCGCTGGGCCCAATGCGCAGGCGCAGAGTCCCCGCCCCTGAAATGCGGCAGCGCCCCGGTGGCCAAGCCCCCGGAAGTCGGCGCAGCGCGGACAAAGCGTCCACGGCCTCC